ACAGGATTCCTGATCAGATGTATTGGGACTGGATATAAACAGATCAGTGGGTTCATCAATCTGTCTGTAGAGACCAGGGGAACTTGGATTCACTTTTGATCTACTCATAACCGTAGATCCAAGGGGAGGAAAACAATTTTCTATAGCGGATTCATATTCCTCAGAATTGTTCATGTAATAAGCTGGTCTTTGTCTAGATTTTGTATGGTAAGATGGACGTTTCATACTATTTTCTACATAATCTGGGTCAGAAAAGTCAACAGGTGTTTCATATTCTAGAGAGGGCAATAGTGATTCTGCTTGAGAGGATCTAGCATAATCTTCATTTACCCTCTGTTTGAAGGAGAATTGTTGACAAGGTGTGTACCCATTACTATCAATCTGGGCTGACATATTATGGGAGGAAAAGTCACATCTGTTATAGCCAGGTATTTGAGCATCAAGCCATGAACGTGTCTCCAAATGTGAATCATAGGTCGGATCCACACTTTTGGGTAGACAATATGGCTGTCTGCAATTGGCAGAAAACTCAGTGCTTTGAGATGATTTGTCTGATAAACTGAACATATCAGATTTATCAACAACTAGGATTTTGCAAGGAGGGGATTCACTAGATTCACATAAGACTCTAGCATTAGGCCTTTTTAAAGCTTGTCTGTGGTGCATACATTCATAACTTTTAGACTTAATACCCGAGTTTGGAACAGTCTGGTCAGTTAGAAATTCAGCATGTTTCAACTTGTTAGGCTCACTTAATTGAGTAATCTCTTTTGCAACTAAGGGGGCATTTGAAGCCTCGAAAGCCATCTTAAGATCATATTGCTGATCAGCTGATGGTGTCTCTTTAGGCAAACATTTCATGCAGTTAGGGTCATAATACATTGAGGGTGGTATTCTATCAGATGGGATCATTAAAGGGTTTTGCAAAGTCTGTTCTGAGAGTTCACCCCCATATGCTCCCTGAAGCATGTCACCTTCATGAGGTGTCAGTGGCATCGGAGCAAGGGGTGGAACCAAGTAGTTGACTTGCACATCCTTTACTACTCCCACTTTGCTAGAATCACCCAACAAATCATAGTTTGGCTTTGTATAGTCATTTTTTCTCTCATGTTTGACATTTAATGGGGACTTCAGTGTCAAATTACGGGAATGAGAGAAATCTGGGGTCTTTGGTCTAAATCTGGGAATGTCAGTTATTTTAATTGAGGGGAGTAAGGGTCTAAATGGAGATATTCTTTTTACCAGGATCTTGCTTACTGCAGGAGATCCTATGGGCAAAGTATCATCTTGTGCCAGTTTCAAATCTTTATTAAGATGTTGATGGCCCAAAACCACTTCTGAATCATCCAAATACCCTGGTGTTATAGACCCAAAAGCTCCTGATAGGGACTTTTGACATGGCAAAGTTTTCATTTCGGATTTTTCTGACATTGCGGAATATTTTGATCACTTCAATTGGAATATATATTGCTAGATTGCAATGTATGCAAAATAACAAATAATAAGCAATGGGATAAGACTAGGCTTGGGTCAATACGTAAAGTACTATATCCCACCGCTAGGCCAACATTTCTGTCGCGACCCTCGTGTGGTAGCGTGGTTTGAGGGTCGTAAACAGAATACAGTCTAAGAGTCAATAATTTGATTTGATGTTTTCATTCACTTAGTTTCGGAACAAGTTCAAGTAAAAGTTGAAAAGTGTATCCCCTATTTAATTGAACAACATCTTTGTTCACAGTACCTAACAAAATGGGATAAAGTGGGGATAAATATATAGGGGATAAAATTGGGATAAATTTTACGATGAAAATTTACGGGATAATTTAGGGATAAATTCTGGGATAAAAATAATTGGGATGAAGTGGGACAATTTCGGGAAAACAGTTACGGGATAACAATATCTAAGTATAGGCTTAGTTAGATATCTCAGTGTTCAATGTAAATTTTATGTTTCATAAAAGCAAATGGCAACAAACTCAAGATTCTGAATATGCCCAGTGTTAAATTGCATCAAATAAGTATGAAGTTAGGGCGTGAGTATGACCAGGTGGAAGTCAAGTTGCAGCCACTTGAGGACTACAATGGGCTTCAAGTTGTCATTTTTCACAGTTAAAGAAGGAAAATTTGTAATGCTTAAAGTAGGGCTTTTTCAAATCAGGAGTCTGTCAAACACATCAGGGGATAATATTACTAATTCACCATTTGAACACACAAATAACAAAACAGTGGAAGTAAATGGATTTTTATATAATGTATAAAAACAACTCTATTTCTATTACTAATCTATGCGAACATTACACAATTTAGTACAGTCAAATGGTATATCAAGTACACAAATGCACAAAACAACAAAGTAGGTGGAAGTTCAGTAAATCAATTTGCAATAAAGCCCAAAATGTGTTTCTTTCCAAAATATAATTCAACAGTTCAGTTATGTATGATCTCTAGTGGGATTGAAATCACCGTTCTATACTACTCACATGAAAAGTAGAACGTAGTACTCCCCTCAATTAGCAAACAAAAGGGTAAGGTATTAAGTATTCGTGCATAAAATCTGTCTATAATCGAAGAACTATATAGAATATAGTTAACATAGATATTGACCAGATATGAAAACTAAATGGGGGGGGGTAGATGGTAAACACTGACTAGAACCCCATACAAGCAAGTGCCAGGCTAGAAGACCCTAAATGGAATCTATACCAACTCAAGCTATGTAGTCAGGGGGTGGTCATAGTGTCTAGACAGCATCATAAAATAGGTTTAAAGCCTTATGAAATGGCTTCAGTACTGACCTTGACTCTGCAAGTACTGGGTGCAGAATCAGTGATCAGCTGTTTGATTATGGTCAGAAAGAAAGCTCGGGGGATCTACCTTTTAAAATACCCAGGCATGGACATACACATGCAAAGATACAAAAGTGTGTTTTCTAATGGGTCAATAAAAGTTACTTTGGCGAATAAAATTAATACAGTCTTAAGTTGAATGTAGGGGGGGTCATAAAGATTATTCAATGGAACCCCAGGAATATTGACGCTGGTTTAAAATAAGTTACATCGGTTCCTAAAGACCATAACTTTACGTACACCTTGTCAAATGTTCCATAACAATTCCCAGGACCTCTCGAATTTACAATTGTTCAAAAACGTCCTCTCTCAATTTCAGGTTTATAAATCAAAACAGATATATAATATGAGAAATCATTCCAAGTTAAAGGATCTAGAATAGTGAATGATGTATCTATTATAAGCAACAATATAGAGTAAGGCCAGACGTGTAAAACTGACTAGAAATAAATACAATAACATGTATTAGGGAGGGGTTGTAGTTAATAGTCTAAATAGTAACGGGAAGCCCAAAGAAGCCAAATGGGCTTGAAATGGCTTGCCGTGACCTTTAGGGGGGGGGGAAGTTGTGGTAAATATATGGGAAGCTCCCATAAGCCAGTTGAAGCCAAATGAGCTTGAAATGGCTTGCCATGACCTTTGAGGCTTGTCGGCACACAGTGACCCCTGTTCTTATTGAAGTTTCTCCAACCAAACTGGCGGTGAAAAATCACAGAAACAGGTCCTGGGATTTAAATTAGGGAGTGGGTGATAAAGCCCAATTACAGACAATTGTCTGAGAAGGAGCTTTACTGTCTAAGCGGGGGTTATTGCCAGTATGGAATAAGACTGAATCAGTTCAAAGTTCAAGCTGATCCAAAAGACGCTAGAAACTTTATATAATCCAAATCAACAGTAGTCCTTTAGCAATAAATCCCCTTAACAGTTTTAAATTAGTGTTTATACATGTTATACCCTTTAATTGAGATAAAAACAAAAGAAACTCCAGTGGTTAATTAAAGTCAAAAACCTGTCAAAATTACAATAAAATCAATTCAATTACCTTCCCCAACTTGTTCACCTAAGTTGGTATATCTGTGTTTATATAAATATCCAGTTTTGAGTTGCGTTTTTGAATGTTATAATTCCAAAAAGTTATACACGTCCGGCCCGTTTCAATGCAATGGAGAGAGTCCCCAGACAAGACAGAATCACTGATTTAAAACAGCTGATTTCCAGCCTAGCCTCGTTTTGGATAAAAGTAAACAAACCCAGTGAACTTTGGCTATCCCTTGAATGAAAGTTTACAGCACAGTTACTAACATGAAACTGACCAGTTTTATAACAAAACTTATAAGCTGTCATAACTCTACACAATTATGGCATAATATATACAAATATAAACTTTATAGTTACATGATAAAAACAAGTGAGGACCCCAATTTAATAGATCTTGAATGAATAACATTGACACTCTCAATTTTAGTCCAGGGCAGCTGCCTGTCTATATCAACAACCCTTTTGCAAAATCTTAAAGAGTTCTACATGTATTAAATACAACATAAATTAGAGTAACTACAAAAAGTAAGTAAGTGCAAAAGTGAAACAAAGTAACAATCATTCAAGGCAATTCCATTACCATGCTCAAAGTAATCTGAAGGATCGTCACACTATGTTATACATTGTTAAAGATGAGGAACAGATATGTCGTTATAGCATTCTACTGTTATGGTTACAGATACGTTGTGACTACCGAATGATAAATGTCGCAGTTGGGTACATTCATTAGCAGTGTTCATTTAATATATTAAATGAAACATTAAATAAAACATCCATATTCATTTGACACTATATTATTTGTTAAGCATAAAAAGGAAATTACAAACTTATCCCAGTAATAATACTACCATCCTCCGATCACAGGGCTTCAAAATCCAGAATATATTCTTTCTTTTACCCCCTGCGATAAGCAGTTAGCATTTCCCCGATTAAGAATTCCCAATCTGATTGGCTGTAGCAACACTACGACAGAAATCATGTATAAGTCATTGCGCATAACTAGATCACGTGATTCAGTTTTCTTCGGGCGCTTCCAAATTGGTTAAAGCAGGGGGGAGAAGGAGGTACGGATTCTGGATACCTGCTTAAGAGGATGTAATACTACATAATCCTTACCTCTTCCGGCACAATGAGCTGTGTTGTACCATATGCATCTCTTAATGTTAAAAACCTTCCATATCTTTGGAATTGTAACCAACCACATAGTTTTACTTTGGTGTTAACATGGTCTACCCTGAGCTCTCCCAATGTATGACTCCTTGCTGTGAATGAAGTGTTGGTTCCAGTAACTGAAAAAACAAGTTTTTGATAGTTACTGATGTACACAGTACACACCTTACACCGTTGTACAAATATTCAAATTGGCAAATGTACAGAGAAATCAATAATACTGTTTCTACATGCACCAAGAGTATACCAACAACAACAAATTAATTGGTTTCTTCTTCTACTGACCTTGCTTTTTCTCAGAGCTACTTACCTTAATGTGGAAAATTCTTGCACCACTGGATAGCTATGTTGTTTTTCTTCAAAATTTTGTCAAATTTTGTAAATCTTATTCTTTCTATCAAATTATTGCATAAACTGACAAATGATTTTTCCTGACTTATTTATACGAGAGCTCATAAGCGAGAAGTAGCGTCATAGAATTCTGAAATATTGTGAATTTGTACAATATCTAGAAAAGTGCACCATCTATAACCATATAGGTATGATAAGTTTTTGCATTTATTATATATGTATTGATTACGACTAAAGAATCATATCTTGTGCCCCCTGGCTTGGTTTAACTTCCCTGCATATTCCATGAAGTACGCAGAAAATTAACTGGTGGCGTATTTTTAACCAATCCTTGTAATTTTATTCATGATTTTGTGGTTTGGAATTTTTTTATCAAATTTGATATTTTTGAAAATGTGACTTCTAGTTTGGGTTGATTATGGGCTTTAAATGAATGCCCATGGGTTGATTCCCCATTACAAAATCACAAAATAGGAAATATCTTTTCTTGTATTTGACAGATAACGTTTTCATTTATTGGACATATTTTACTTTGCATTACTATTAGATACATAAGGGTTATATGAAGAACCACTAAAACACATGTAATTTAAGTTAAAGGGAGCTTTCTACTATAACCGGCATGTTATCTGACCTGAACAAGCCACCTGGTGGTGATACTGGTAACTACCTACTCACATCTGCATTATTAGAGACAGTTTTGGAAAGTCAGTTCAGATTGCGGTAACATCAAATAGCATGTCAATAAACCGTCACTGACACACCGAGTGAAATGCCATTGGAAACAAGTCACATGTTATTCTCTATTAAATATTCCCTGATAAACATTAGACAGCTATCAATTTATCATACTCTGAGGCAGTGCTAGTCTTCAACATACTATTCTGAGACACTGCATGGAAGTTCTTCAATTTATTAGACAACAATTTTGTTTTACACCAAAAGTTTGATTTATAAAAAATGGCCAATGGGAAAACATGTTGTAAAATTGATTAGAATAGCGACATTCAACTATTTATAAGTGAACATTTAATGCAAAATGTATTATTGTCAAGTATCTGTCGCATGTTAAAGAAGGAAATTGGATTCAATGTATCCAGAATTTGTGGTACATGACATCAGAGACTTTTATATGTCTCTAGGTACACGAATGCATACATGGGCTTACAATAGATCATGGAAGTTAAACCCAATCTGCAAGAAACATCAGATTATACTCTTTGAACTAAATACGAGACCCTATATGTTGCAAGACTAACGCCTGGTGTAACCGTCACCATGTTATTCAGTGTTTTTAAGTAGCACAAGGATCCTGCCATGACCGTGGTAATGTTATCGTGAAAGTCTGGTATAACCGCGACAATGCTGTATTATATTGCATGCCTGCCATGACCGTGACAATGTAATATAGTTCTGCAAGGCCTGGCATCAGGTATGAGAGTGGTAATGTAGAGATTTACGATTTGGACTGCTGTAACCGTGACAATGTGTATTGCAAAGCCTGGCATGACCGTGGCAATGTAATATCGTACTGCAAGGTCTGGCATGGCCGTGACAATGTAATATACAGGGCTGTCAACTTGGGACCATCTAACATGAGTGACTTCCAAATGTTGAACACCTTCCTTCAAACTTTGGACAGCTTCAGTGAACACTGGCAGATTTTGGACACCTAAAATTATTGCAAAGACCGAACGGAATACGTTCGCTTTTTTTCACCGTTCGGTTTTTTACCGTGTCAGCATTTCACAAAAGACGATTTTTTAAAAATATCAACAAAATGCATGATTTGCGTGATATTTGATCATACTCGCTAAATTGATGCTTGATTTCTATTTTTCCAGCAAATGCGTGACAATCACACGTGAGGGTTGACAGGGCAGAATATAGTATTGCAAGGCTTGGTATGACCGCCGTGGCAATGTGATATAGTATTCCAAGTTCAGGTATGAGAGTGGTAATGTAGAAATTTATGATTGCTATAGGTGACCGTGACAATGTGTATTTGAAAACCTGGCATGACCGTGACAATGTATTATGGGATCGCAAAGCCTGGTATGACCGTGACAATGTAATATAGTATTGCAAGGCCAGGTATGAGGGTGGCAATGTACAAATATAGGCTTAGTCCCACTATTACCGTTATAATGTATTGCAATGACTAGTAAATATGTATGACATTAATGCCAGGAATATCCTTAACAATTTTAAGTGATCGTCATTACAATTAAACAGTTTAATACTATGATCATGGTGTTTAGGCTTAACTACCTTAATCATGTCAAAATCTTTACTATCATACATTAATATTCACATTCGCTTATAAACCACAATAAAGGCTACGGTCGCGCCAGGCTTCCACGATAACACTTCCAGGGTCATGACAGGCCTTGCAATATAATACAGAATTGTCACGGTTATACCAGCCTGTCACGGTTATACCAGGCTTACACTATAACACTACCACGGTCATGGCAGGATCCTTGCGCTACTTAAAAACACTGATTAACATGGCGACGGTTGTGGCAGGCGTAAGTCTTGCAATAGATAGCATGTGCTAAATACTCTCTAAGGAATCAATTCCTAAGTACTGTTGCTGTTCCCATGATGTGATTTTAAACTTCCATACTGCCATCCGGACTATTACACTGTAGTCTGGAGACACATAAAACAATGTATCAGAGATTATTGATGTAGATGTAGTCTAACTCATCAAAGCCAGCAGTCCAGTTTATTATTTGTGAAGATGGTGAATGATTCAATGAAGCTACTGCATGTTACGTGCATGTATTTCCGTTCACAAAAGGCTGATAAGTTATACTGATTGGCTTTACAAGATTGCCTAACAAGCTAGAAGTGAACTAAGAAAGAAGTTGATGATAGCTGATCAACGAATCAGAGACATACATGTATAAAACATGAGACGTCTCTGAATGAATATAGAAATATTCTGGTAAAAAGTAGTATCTATCGGAAAATACAGCCTTAACAACAGTAATATACAAAGTAGGTACCGGCTTTAGTATGACATCTTGCCTCTGGTGGAACCACGATGATCTTTGACCGCGTGTGTCGAGAGTTATTGATAAAAAGTTGATGAAATCTTTGAAAAAATTTCATTTTTGCCGCCATCTTACTTCCGTTTCCGGTAAATAGAGCCGAATCAATCCGTAATCTATGTTTATTTCATTTAACTAACATTAACTGATTTAGTATTACTGTATTTAATGAAAATTAGAATATCGCTTACTTAGTTATCAGTAGATATCCTTGAATAAACACACTATCATATTTTCTTCAGATCGAAATATAGAACTTTATTTCTAGCGGATGACAAATGTACAAAGGAGGTGTTCCTAGGCACAAGATCTTATTTGAGTGAATTATTTGTGAAAAAACACAAAAATGATCCATTATCTCACTCTATTCGAAAACTATAGTATGATTTGAATGATATATTTAGACATTGTGTCATAGAGTATCTAATCAAATCAAAAACACCGAGTAAACACAGTCCAGTGACCGACAATCGCTGCTGAAAGTGTGACATATTCCTCAGTCAGGATTTTTCAAGTTGTTGACATTTTGACAACTCACATGATTTTGTTCATTGGTTATCAGGTTTAATTTATAACCCCTTTATGAAATAAATGAAGACATGAGTTTCTTCAAGAAATTACTCGGCAACAATGAAGGCCAACAAAAGCAGGGCCAGAAAGCATCTCAATTATCAGCAACAACGCCACCTGGAATGCAAGCTATGGGTGCTACGTTGCAACGAAAGTTTGCAAAAGGAGTTCAGTATAACAGTAAGTACACTGATTATCTGCATCACTCTGCAAAGTATATATGATAAGTTTTTTAAGATCTAGGATTTAAGAGATGGTGAAATGCTACGGTTATTGTACCATCGCAGGCAGTTTTGCTGGGGCCTACTACTTTTTTCAAGGCCTGACTGCGTCGCTAACATGCTAAATATAAGAGTTAGCTGACGTTTGGGAGTCTGACTTACCTTCTAAAGGTTAGAACCCAAATCTTAATGAAACCATATCACCTTTGTTGCGTCGATGATGATGCATAAACATAGCATTTGATAGAAATTAGCGTAAATGCTTTTCCGACTTTTTCATTTTTCATCAATGTTGACTTCCGGGAAGGCGTTGTAGTTATCACGAAATAACGCATTGACCCTTGAACTTTACTTTGTTGACGTGTCAACCAAGCATGTCTGGTGTGAAAATTAAAAGAATATTAAGCAATGTTCTACATCCGCCAAGCTAAGTGAAGTAGTCAATATTTAAAATTACCAATTTCAAGTGAAGTACGCAACGAACGAAACTGCGTGATCTACACTCCCACTATTGGTCTGAATGAAATGCTACGTAGAAATATGAACCGTCTGCTGTATTAGTCGATTAATAGAGTAAGACCTGTTGGTGATGCTTTATAATTTAGACCAAAACATTGAAGAACAAACGAACCTGTAAATCGGGAAAACAACGAACAAATATTCGGTTTTCACATATGTTCGGTAATTTTTCGTATTGAAACTTCCGGAACTTACAAGGAAATCATTCATTTTCTCGATCCATGATTTACCTCTTGGATGTTGTGGCAAATGCTCCATGGTTGACGGAACAAAGGTGATATGGTTTCATTAAGATTCGGGTTCTAACCTTTAGAAGGTAAGTCAGACTCCCAAACGTCAGCTAACTCTTATATTTAGCATGTTAGCGACGCAGTCAGGCCTTGAAAAAAGTAGTAGTTCATCACCAGTTAACCCAGTATATCTGCTTTACATGGGCTTATTAGCCTTTTGCAGTTCAGTTCAGTATTAGATAAAATAAAAACATGATATGTACAAGGCCTAACTTTTGTGTATTAGATAGTTAAAGGTTTCATGTGCAGAAAACTTTGGCCTTTTGTAATTTAGGAAGTTTTCAAAATAAACATGGTAGAGAAACATCAAAAGGAGGAAGGAAAGTATCGCAACAAATTTCAGACAGTCATATGTTGGATTTTGGCTATTTTCTGAGGATTTAAACAGGTGCATATGTTAGGCCAATGTATTACCTCCAGGAAAAGCACTCATAGAGATAAAATAATTTCGACTTTGAGACAGGGAAGATGCAAACAACACACCCACATGTTTTTTTTCTCTAAAATATTGCCCTGATTTTCAACCCCTTCCACCCCTGATTTTTCATTTTATATTGCATTACTATGTTGCATTTTGACAGACAGTTAACCCCTAGAGATGTCACGGAACAAAAAAAAATCGGAACGGTTAAGTTCGGAACATTTTGCTTCGGATTGAAACAATTTCGGAACGGATCGGAACAGAGTGACTGCGTGTATAAGATTAAAATAAGTTGATCATCTAGGTCTATTTGGTTGCGAAAAGCTCTTCAAAACTCTTCAATGGGAAGGAGTGAAAAGAATAAACCTCTTTTGGTGCTAAATATTGAAAGAAAATGCTGTTTTGTGGCGATTTAAGGGCCAAAAGTTATGAAAGAGTAAAAAGTTCTTGTTCCGGAACCATACTGAAATTCTCAATTTGTGTTCCGAGTTCCATTCCAAGGGCATAATTCAGCGGATCGGGACAAAATCGGGTATCTGTGACACCTCTATTAACCCCTTTAAAGGAATAAGTAATTCCTTCAGGGGTTTTAAAGATATCCATTTTGGGTGACCAAAATTAAGCTGAGAAAAATGGACATTTACTTGTACATTTGCCCATTTATATGTTTCACCTTAAAGATCTAATTTCCCGGTCTGAGCAAGAAAAATCATTTCTTAAATGATACTGTAAACCTTTATGGTGAAGATCAATAAACTGTCTATACAGCACTCCTAACCATCGACAATGTGCAGTGACAAAACACACCATTGTACACTTTAGATGTACGGTGTCACTATTCTAACTGATGTGAAGCAAAAATTATGATGTAGGTATGATTTAGGTTTTAAAAATTAATCTGAGGAGTACTTCAAAGGATTTCATGTTTGATTTCGTGTGTATTCGATTTGGAAGACATTTACCTTTCTATTTATGTTAAAAGATTTCTGAGGAGTTTTTTCGAAGTAAATCTACCCACCAACAAAGATCGGTTGGAAAATGTTGTTTTTTCACATTTCCTTTGGTCATCGTCTAAGAGTGTCGATCATTTTTATGAGAACATGTGTCCTTAAGTTACATAAGGTCGGTTCAAGATTTAATACATATTCAAGTTTTTGCTAAAATAATAATTAAGATAAAAAATCATAAGTGTACATTGTCATTTTGATGTACGTTGTCCTATTTTGAAAAATGGTCACGATTTTAAAGTATTATACTATGACTTGAAAAGTAGTGGAGCGATTTTGTTCATATTTGGTATGTGAATACTATAAGCATGGCACCCTGTCTAATGACACTTGCTTGCTACGCTTTTGCGTTGCTGTTGTCTCGTTGGTGTCCAACCAAGTTCATTAATGATAGCTACATATGCAGGGGTACTTTTTACATTGAAAAAACCCCTGGCCATGTCATATTGCATTGACCGGAATTATTGAGGATGGTCTTGGTATTTGTAACCCAAACACCGCAGCCATGTATTGTAACAGCCCAGAGAGGATTTTTTTGTATCAATGAATAGCATATTACCAAAGGATGAGTCTGGGAATGAGTCTGGGTATCGACTTAGAAAATATTGAAAATTGTAATGTCTGAAAAACCAACTCAATCACACATATCATTAAACTTCAATATCTTATCTTTCTTCTGAGATTACAAAAATATCAATTTGTAACACAATTGATGAAGAATATTGGCATCAAAGACAGTGCATATCACTTTGTCAGAATTGAAAAAAAATCAATAGCAAATATTAAATGAATTATTTATCCAAAAAGCTTGAAACATATCCTCCAAAACATTGCTAAATTTCTTTGTATAGACATTGAATGGTATTTCTGGATAAGTGAATTGGTGTTTATCTCTGTAATCAATGGATTATAATCACTCAAAGTTACTGAGCATCCAGTTTTGAGACTTCAATTGTGTTGATGAAGTTACCTATATATCAGTCAAATTCATGCTGAGCACAACATTTTGGTTTCAATTTTATAATCTCTATACATGACCCTGGAGATGAAGAGTCAGAATCAGTAAAAAAAGCTAAACCGGAAAACTGTGCTCATTGTGAAAACTAAAAGTGAAGCAACTTTTTTTCTGATATTTCTTACATCAAACGGCAGCCATCTTGTTTTTCCCCCTTCAAATTAAACTGGCGGGAAATTCAAAAATTTGAAAAAATTCTAATCCTTAAATATATTTCAAAAATATGATTTTCTTTTTAATTCGTCATGGGTCTTAAGTTATTTCTTCTTTGTATATCATACATGTTGCCATTGTTTTTTTCTATGATAATGACTATTTTTTGTTTAACTCAGATGCGAGTAGGTACATTTAGTTACCAGTTTTATCACCGGGCAGCCTTTTCGGGTCGGATAGCATGGCGGTAATAGTAGATAATAGTAGAAAAGTCCATTCAACTTAAATATTCATTCAGTTCGAGTGCTTCAATCTTCATATCACCCGTAGATATCTAATAGTTATGCAAATAAAAATATGTAGTAAAAGAAAATATTATCTGTCCTATACAAGAAAAGATGGTTCACTTTTTGTGATTTTATCGGAAATCTCCCCGAATTAGAAGTCACATTTTCAAATAAAAGAAAAAAATTCAAAGTTGATGAACAATTTTCGAAGCCATAAAGATGTACCTATACATGTAGATTTCAAATATTATATCAATTTTGAATATTTAATGACTTAAATCAAGTTTATTTCTACTTGCATCTAGTCTATTAATTATTGGTAAATCAGATCTGGTAATTCTGAAAATTGCTCAAAACCTTATTTCCCTCTTGGAAGTTCTTTTGTCTCCTTATGAACATTGATATTTTGACCCTACCCCTTAAAGACCCGAATCGTGTATATGCATTGAGGGTTTGGCATAATGGCCAGAATAAAATCTAAGGTCAAATATTTACCATACAGATAAGCCTTTGTTGATGTAATAGCTTTAATAACCTATAGTATTTGCATTAATTCTGGAGGCTTGTGGTAAATAACGAATCTCTATAAGTCACATTCAGTTCACTTATCCACAAACTATGGGCATCTTGCTTCATCAAGTAGTAGACCTGATAGAACGTACAGGAGTGGTTGATCTTGGGAACTAACAATGAACTATTTTAGTAAATTTCAAGCTTGAAGAGGAAATTAGAAAAAATGTTGAGGAACTGTAACAACCGAGGACGATATTAACTATTACTTGAGGTAAAATCAATTCTTGTTTGCTGCATTTTTTCAGGTTTGTTGGTAACTTATGAATAAATGCATTTTGTCGTCTTTTGGACAAACCATTTGATGTTACAGTATACCTTTGAAGTATTGCTATATTATACTCAAATTGAAGGAAGTTTAGGGCAGATCATTAGTATGGTATTGTCTTTCTGATTTGTGCCTCAGAAAATTCAAAATAGCTGCTAACAGGAATTTGCATTAATTTTGAAATCTTTCTGAAGCATAGCTTTATTACACTCAAATGAAAGGCAATTTAGAATAGATTGCAAATCTTGTATTGGTTGTGTAATTTCGGCCATGTAAAAAATCAAAATGGCCGCCACCTTATGTGAAATTTCGCAATAATTTTCTGATCTCTTCTAAGTATGGCTATACAGGGTGTCCAATAAATAAGGTGAAAGATATTATAACTTTCTTAATATTGCACCAATCTTTATGAAATTTTCAGAGTTTGTAGCCCAAACCTTTTTACCTTTATTCCATGAATTTAAAGCTTCTTCTATTTGATTGGCCAGAGTTGTGGTTGCTATAGTAACCTAAACAACAAAAAGGCGGGGCAAGTTTGTTTACGTCACAACTTTCCAAAGCATATTCATTCTTTCTGATACCTTTATTCATACTCCCAGGTCCCACTCCCATGTATTATTCTCAAATTGAAGGAAATTTAGGGCAGATCACTATTTTGGTGATGAATTTCTTGTTTGTTAATAATGAAGTGTATCTTTAGAATTAAATCACAAATAAAATTAGATTAGTGTCAGAATGAAATGGATTACATATTACACTTACAGATAACTGTATACTTTTTTATAATCCATATTTTATCGTGCTGAAACATGCTTCACATTGGTAAACTTATGACAAAAAAACAATAGGTAACTTGACATTAAAAGATGATCTCGCATCATTCGTAAGACAAAAGCCCACATCCTGGCTATCATAAACATTTCAGATGCTTATTTCTTGGTCATAAACATTTTCTGACTATGAAGACAGACATTCGATTATCGCGAGGAAAAGTATATATATACATTGTACATGTGGAATAATCATTAAGTTAAAAGGGTAGTTTCTGAATAGCAGATAAACAATGAAATCTAGTGCTAAGCTTCTTTTATTCAGCTTTTTATTTGGGCAAGACTGCCATTCACTTACATATTAAAATCGTGGATTTCACGATTTATCAAAAAAGTGTTAGTTGAATCTGTGTAAAACTTGAATGGTATATCATATGATGACCCTGTTAATGTACATTTTGTGATTAAACATGCAAATGTTGGTGGACATACAAATAATCCAAGGTTTTAAAAAATTGTAGCATTGCATCAACAATGTCAATGGAGATTTGGCCCAAGTTTTGGAAAATGGCTCAAGTGGCCCAAGTCATGGAAATTGATTCAAATGACATAACTGTGTAAATCAAAGCTATTGTAGGAGAAAACGTTTCATTGAATTCAAATATGCCATTTAAAAGAAGGAAAGATGTGTTATTAGAGGTCTAATAGGCAAATCTATTAAAATCCAACGAAAACCAGATTTAGCGAGATTTCAAAAGCTATATGGAAACTGTACTATTGTATGAGACTGAATTAGGTTGCACAGTACAAATGTCCATGGAGCAAAAATAGAACCCCATTTGAGAAATCCTGGCTACAGGCTTGAAGTTATTTGATAAAATATTTTTGAATGATATATTGGGTTATTTGTGTTTTTCAGTGAAGATAATTATCAGAGGAGACCGTAATGTTGGCAAAACATGTCTGTTCCTGAGGCTCCAGGGACAGAAGTTCAAAGAGGAGTACATCCCCAGTGATGAAATACAGGTATGTTGATAATGTAGTATTATTTGATCAGCGGGAGGGGGGGTTAAACAATATGCAGTCAGTAAGTTAAAAAGGACAAGTACATGTCACAAGATGATATACAGGGCATACTATAATACTATTTGATAGAGGGCAATTCAACCATATATAGAGTCCATGATTAAAAAATGTGTTATCCCATTGACATTGTACAGTAACAGAGACAGGGTGTCCGGAAAGTAAAGATACAAATGCTCTAATTTCATTAGGTTTACATGTTGTGAGATAAAATTGCTGAGATGCTCACTTCTCTCATCACTTCAATTTGCAATGTCCCCAATGTTACCCATATCGAGTGATTGACATAATATAGTCTGTACTTTAAGGTGACCAGCATACAGTGGAATTACAAGGCAACAGATGATGTTGTTAAAGTGGAGGTTTGGGATGTTGTTGATAAAGGCAAAAAGAAGAAAAAAATGGATGGCTTGAAACTGGATACCACTCCAGACGTAAGATATAAAAAATCATTTCTACTCAGTTACTGAATTTTTGCGCAATATTAGGCTGAAAATTAAACCTTTCTAAGGAGTAAGAGAATAAGTTCTACTCAATTGTAAGTGTACTACTTTTGTGGCAATTTACTTGTGCTACTTCAGAAACCAATACATGAACAATCAATGTCTTGTTGATAGGATATAGCCTATATACTCTTAGTTGTATAAGTTTAAGCGTATGCTAGTCTAGTGGGAAATCTTATGCTAATCGAATGACCAAGTGACACACTAAAGTCAGTGTCTAGTCTATGCTGAGATTTCCCATAAGCTGACTGTTGAAGAATCTTGTTACGATCTGCTAGATCTGCAGTGTACGCCTTTTAGGGGGAATTTTAGTGATGGGATAATACTTTGTATATTGATTTTTTTCTCTTTTCTCAGGATAATGATATTAGGTTCTAATGTTTTGCTTTTGTGATTATAAAACATTTAATGATTGAATCTTAGCTATCATAACAGACCCATGGGGTATTAAAAAGTTAACACCTGTTCAAATCAAATCAAAATCAAAAACATCCAGTTAATTTACAATAAGGATAAACCAATAATTTCCTGGATTTACACCTTTCTCTTAATCCAATTATAAAGCATTCAGTTCTTTTCTTATAGGATAAACCATTTATCACCTGTATTCACACCTAATAATTATTATGATGTCATTGATACTTAAATAGTTAATTAAGACAATATTGGTTCTTTGATTACATAGTATATGTAAAGATAAAGAACAACTATAAAATTGCCTGAATATGTTGCTCTTTTCATGCATAGAAACAAATCCAGACAATTGATTTCTGATAAAAATGTTCAGATTAGACACTGATCAAATTTTCAAATCTGATTGTTCATTGGTCAGTTTAGGAGATGTTAACATGTGAGTCAATGGGAGGAAAATTTTTTTGGGAAGGAGTTCAGAAATACACATTCTAGTGTACACTATATATCTATTGTAATAATCCACAATCTTTGAAATAATTACATTATAAGAAGATTGCATTATATTTTACTCAAATATCCATACTTTTTCCCTGGCATGTTTATAAGTTTTACCTGTCTTTACTTTAGGAGTATGAAGACCCCTGCCTTGATGCAGAATGGGTAGATGTGTACCAAGGCACACATGGTGTAATACTCATGATGGATATCACTAAAACATGGTAAGCAATTAAGCATTATTTAGTCAGTTTTGTACATATGCATCCATCCCATCTTGTTGAGAATGAGATAATACACCATTAGGCCATTTCAAGGATCTTAGATATGTTTTTGAACCAATTGAATCTGCTTTATATCCATTATTAAAATTGTTTGCAATTGTTAGCTTCAAATGGAATTGAAATATTAACTATAACTATACACTTGCAGCAGAAATTATTTGTTCAACTGGAACTCTGAAAAAGTCAACCTTTACAGTGTATTGTTCTACCAGACCTTGAAACCCTGGTTGATTTCCGAGTTTCAATACCTCATTTCTATGGGTATATGTACTGTACAATACATGGTATGGTATACTTATATTCCAGGACATTTGATTACATTGAGCGGGAGTTTGCCAAGATTCCCAATCAGATCCCAGTACTGTTGCTTGCCAACCACAGAGATATGGGCCACCATAGGACAGTTTCAGAGGACAAAGTCAAGTACTTCATTGAAGAGATGCAGAAGTGAGTCAGAATTCTTTCTTAATTTTTAAAAATCATTTTTTTAACCACCATGCTAATTTATATGTTCAGGAATAATTTCAGAAATAAATGCACCTTGGTCAGGTCTGCTCTGTGCATAAACTTGCATTTGGAATTGGAGTTTAGATCTTTAAGCCTCTACCATTCTTGTTTCCTGTTGTTTCAACGAATCAGCATGAGCATTAGTGTTGATACAATGGACTTTCAAGAGACTTTAAACAAACAATCTTCCATGCTATTAAATATTTATATAACGTGACATATTTGATTAAGAAGAAATCCCAATAAGAGGCTTATAGAGCAGATTTGCTAAAGCATTAAAATCCAGTTCAGTTGAATTTCTGCAAATAAATAGGACTAATTCAGGATTTATATTAAATCCCTTCAACATTTCAGTCAGCGTCCGGAAGGTTCTGCAGAGATTCGTTATGCAGAGGCATCAATGAGGAATGGATTTGGACTAAAATATCTACACAAATTTTTTAATCTCCCCTTCCTACAGCTGCAGGTAAGCAATCTAATGGTTTTCCTATTAGAGATAGATCTTTAATCTTTTATTTATTTAGGGGGAGGGTGTATGAGGGATCCAGGAATTACTTTACAGTTTTACTTCACAGACTAAAACTATTAATTCATAATCATATACTTTTGATTTTTCTTCCTAGAGGGTCACAAATAATGATTCGTGTTTATACAATGCAAATTAAAATTAAAACTAACCCTGAAAAAAATTATTATTAATATTTTTTTGTGAATACAGAGAGAAACCTTACTTAAACAACTAGAACTGAACACTAGAGACTTCACATCAACCATAGAGGAACTTAGCCTTCAAGAGGAATCTGAAGAACAGAATTATGACATGTAGGTATACCCATTGCTTCAGTGAAATGAGGGAATTTCTTCTAAACAAGACTGAAATATCTGGAATCTCACCTGGGAAATATATATGTGAAGCCCAGGGTCTACGAAAAGGGACTGGAATTGCTGAAATTTAAATACATGTTTAAAGACAACTTTTGTACACACATGTACACATAGATTTGAATTAGCCTTTTAAGTACTGATACCTTTTCTAATGATCCATTATTATTTTGAAGTGATCTGTCTGTAGTACATTAGTTGACTACTAAAACTAGTCCTTAAAGCTTTACGTTATAATTGCAGATTTATTGAATCATTGAGTAATAAGCGCAGAGAGCAGCAAGAGTCCATGGGGCTTAAGGGTGTGTCATTAGATGAAGCTCGCAAGCGGGAACAGGAGCGGGAACAGGCAAGACTAGCCGAGCAACAAAAAAGCGGTATTCTCCCTGGAGTGTTACCAACATTTACTGCAAAGACCCCAGAGGCCAACACTCCTGTTACTCCACATGCTACTAGTATTGCAGGTACTTATTTCATATGCACACGTTTACAATATGTGTCCCTTTTATGGTATCGTAAAGTTGTTATGGTGAAATTTATTACTTTGAAATTAAAATATTTGACTTTATAATTCAAGAAAAAATGTCTTATCTGACAAAACCATTGAAATTAGTCATAAATGAATTGCTTTTTCCCTACTTAAAATGATTTAACTTCTCAATTTGTAGAACCAAATAAGTTGCCTAATTCATCATCACTGCCAAACCTTGGTGCAACGCCTCCTACTGAGCCACCAATCACAAAGGCTCAAACACCATCTGTTGAGAAAGCGCCACCTATTCCTGAACCTGAGCTGGAAAAACAAGAGAAAAAACAAGGAGGCTTTATGTCACGATTGTTCAACAAAAAGGAGAAAACTACAGAAATCCAGTCGCCCCCAGGTACAATTTTAACCCATACTGACATGTTAAATTCTATTAGATATTCTTTTTTATGTCGCCACCACATAGTGTGGGGCCATATTGTCGGCCTAGGCGCCTCTGTCCGTCTGTCTGTCCGTACGTCCGGCAGTTTTCTCCAAAACCACTACAGATATCACCTTCAAATTTTCAGGGATAACTTATGAGTGCATATAGATGTGGATGAAAACAAATTAGCTCGATACCTACTTCCTGTCGGCCATTTTGAAGTCAAATGCTAAAATCCTTGTCTTCAAACTTTAAGAAAAACGGCTTCACAGTTGCTTTTAAAACTTTAACATCTTGTTCAGCTAACTTAATTCTAGATCTGATTAGGTTTTGGACCTATTAGCTCAGTCATGTCAGCCATTTTGAATGTTTTAAGAAAAGTTAGCGCGCGATAATACTTTATATCATATTGTTTTTCAGTTTTCATACTTAAACTATTCAGTAGCTTTATAAATAATTTCAGGTGTACTTTGTTGTAAAAGCCTATGTTATTGTTAACAGTAGTTATATGTGATAATTTGGTAAAAAGAAATCAGCAAAAACTCATAATCATTTTTTTTTATTGTCGGCCATATTGGATTTTTCCATCCTAAAATCTTGTCAGTAAAGTCTTGTGTACGCGTTTTCAGGTGAACCGTTTGGTAGATCAATTTCAAATTTTCAGGGATGATTCTTAGTATGAAAATCTAGATCTGATTAGTTTTTGGGCATTCTGGGTAAATGTCAAGGCAGCCATTTTGGATTTTCCGTCCTAAAATCTTGTCTGTAAAGTCTTGTCTACGCGTTTTCAGGTGAACCGTTTGATGGATCAATTTCAAATTTTCAGGCATGATTCTTAGTATGAAAATCTAGATCTGATTAGTTTTTGGGCATTCTGGGTAAATGTCAAGGCAGCCATTTTGGATTTTCCGTCCTAAAATCTTGTCTGTAAAGTCTTGTCTACGCATTTCCAGGTGAACTGTTTGGTAGATCAATGTCAAATTTTCAGGGATGATTCTTAGTATGAAAATCTAGAACAGATTAGTTTTTTGGCATTCTGGATAAATGTCAAGGCAGCCATTTTGGATTTTCTGTCCTCAAATCTTGTCTATAAAGTTTTGTTTACATGTTTACTGGTTAACTATGTGACGGATCAATTTCAAATTTTCAGGGGTGGTTCTTAGTATGAAATTCTAGAACTGACTAATTTTTTGGCATTCTGGGTAAATTTTTAGGTTTGACGGGATCACCCATAGGTGGGGACATTTTGTACACATTTGTGTTCTTGTTTGTTTATATTTTTATTTAGTTAACCCGGTTTGGATGTCACAATAATATTTGTGCCATATCATCAATTTAAACCAAATATCCAAGGAAAATCACAATATGTGTTTTCTTTTTGATGTTAACTGCTTTATTCAAATGAAATCTTCCTTCGGAAACTGATTTTTGTATAAACATACAAAAGCTTCATTTATAACAATGATACAATATAATATTATTCTTTTTAGATTTGACATTTTCACGACCAGAGGATGTTATAAAGAGTGTAGATGAGTTTGTGATTGATGAGGGATTGGACTCAAGCTTCCTAGAAGATACCAAAGTGCCTGTTGATACTCCTGCCACTCAATCCAACCTACATCTCGACTCTGACAGGTCTCATTTTGCTCAGTTTTGTCTCACATTATTGATTTTGTTTCAACATGGCAAGTCATCACTCTCCAATTGTTCAATTAACTCAAGTAATTTGGAGTGTAATCGGGGTATTATGAAGCTACCTGTATTTGTGTATGTTACTGTCATTAAAATCGCCATGATACACCATGCATGCTCAACTTTACTCTATGGGTTTTGGATAGCAGTGTGTGGAAAGGGAAGGTAGTGTCATACCACAGTACCATGGGCTTTCAAGAGAAACCCTATGGTTAGACCTAACAGGTGCAGCTTTGATACTTACCAGACTTATGTATGGGTGTATAGTGTCATTATTATAAGGGCAGAAGTAGCTCACAATATGTTGTGTCTTTCATATTAACTCTGAATATGTTTTTCCTGTTTGAGTTTGTCACATCATAAGATTTTCTGATTTTTTGTCTTCTGTCTCAACATATGAAAGTCCAGCTATACTGAAATAAAGCAAGTACTCTATTTTGTTATATGTATTTTTGCAGTGATGACGATGGTGGTAACCCAATGGTGGCTGGTTTCCAAGATGACCTTGACTCTGATGATGAATTGAATGCAGAATCACATGTACATATCGCCAGTAATGATGTGGAACTCTCCAGTGATGAGGAAGAAAATGTGCCATCTATTACTCAAGATGCCGACACCATTAGCTCTGATGAGGATAACCCAATTACAATAAAACAAATTGAAACAAGTCCTGTGATTACTTCTGACTCTGATAATGAAACCCCGGAGGTTAACATCAAACCCAAAGAGGATGCTCAAATTACAGCCATTGATTGGTCAAAAGGTGCAAATAAAACTCAAGACTCAACATCGAAACATATGAACACAATTGAAATGTTAGAAAGTCAAGTTACATCCACTCCATCTAGTTCAATAACCCCTGTAGCACAAGTGCTGACCTCTAGTGATGATGAGGAAAACAATGTTGAAAGTTACACCAGTTCAGAGAAAACCGAAAGCTCAGTAATAAACAGTGAAAATATAGACTCTAAACCTGCTGAAAGCAAGTGTGATATACCTGATCAAAAAACAGATAAAAAAGAAATGTCCAAATCTAAAAGTAAAGGTGGGAAAAGTGTGAATGCATCCAAAAAAGCGGGTAAAGCTACGAGTAACAGCTTGGAAAGCAGTGAGGAAGACTTTGAGGCAAAATACCATGTGGCAATTATTGGAGACCTAGATTTGTCAGATGACGATGAAGATCTCTACCCAGATAAGAATGCAGCCAGAAAGGAAGCATTTGAAGCTAAAGAGAAAGAGGCTAAAGAGCGGCAGGAGGCAGAGGTTAGACTTTCGTTAATTTTTTTTTTTTAACTTATCATGAGGTGGGAATGTATTATGTTAATGTAAGTATGACATTTTGCCAGAAATGAGAATCTTCGATGCATTTTCAGTGACTGAAACATTTTAAACATACCTTCAGAACCTTCTGAAATGTAGGATTATCCAATCTTTCATTTCAAATGTCACCTCTATTTTTTCAATTACGCACACTTGATTGTTCAATATATTTTGTTCATTTTGTCACTTGTTTAGGAGGAGGAGGAGGAAAATGAGAAAGACGATTCTTCAGAGCATCCTCCAGTAAACACTCTTCAATTTGAAGACTTCGACTTCCTAGAGAAGCAAGCAGGCTTAACAGGAGGACCATCATTAGGTAGCTACATCACGACTTAATGATTGATATTTATATTCCTAACATTCAGTGTACGGTTTTTGCATAGTCAATATTAGATTTTTACACATGAAAAGTGCTATATTGACTGTTGTCATCTTGTACTGGTGGATTACAAAAGGAATCTTATCAAATGAGCAAAAACTGTTTTTTCTTTAACTTATTACTGATGCAAGAGCAGTCTAGTGCCTAGAACTGACCTACCGGTATTTTGAATTGAATTGCAGTATTTATTGTTGAATCTTGTTATAATTTTAACTTTGAACAATTTTCAATGAATATTTGCTTTATTAACTTCTTTAGAAAATATGGATTAAATTAGTATAGTAGATTTCTGGTTGGTGAATTTCCTATTGAGCATGAGTATTTTTTATTGACAGTTCCTGCCAAGGTTGATTCTGGTTCAGATGACTCGGCCCCTACCATCACCATTGTAAAGAAAAAGAAAAAGCACAAAGAAAAAGACAGAGAGAGGGTATGTATTAATTATGAGTATATTTTATCAAGGATTGCATGCAACCTAGCTTTGTTTTCTAGTTTCTAGTTTCAGGATTAGATTTTTCGTATATTTAAAAGTCAGTTAAGTTTTACAAATTATTTTGTAAATGGTTTATTATATCACTCTTTTTGAGGTGAAATATGACATTGAATAAAGCAAGAAAAGGTGAGTGATCAACAAAATTAAAACAAAAATATGTATACTATCTACTTTATACCCCTTTTAGTAATAAAGGGTTATATACTAATATAAAGTAGAATACAGAATACAGAGGTAAGTGAAATGTACAAGAGATTTCCCCCCTCTAGTCTTATCCTGGTGAATGAGCAATTTGCCACACATGATAATATCAATAAATATAGATAAAAGTGTTTTCTCAATGTTTTGGTCAGAGTATCTTGGTGTGAGGTCTGGCGATGGTGCGCTTCATATTTCTGATTGTTGGTGAATTTGTTTTAGTGACCAACATGTTTTGCAAAATCAGTTTCTTCATAGAAAGGATAATTGTGCTTGTTGGCATCTTCACATAACATAGGCAGACCTTAAACAGTTGATTGAGGAGCAATCTCCTTGACAAAATTTGTTTCATATTCCAAGAGGACTTTTAGATTCTTGGCCTCAACATGCTTCCTCATAGCTGCCTTCACCTGGATTACTTCAAGGAGGATATCTTTCAGATGAAGGTAGCATTCAACTATGAGGAAACCACTGTTTCATCTTTTCTGAATATCTATCACTAGTTTAAGGGGTGTTTGTCTTGTTGAAGCTGGACCTCCTCTAAACAAATAGAATCATCATTCAAAGTAACATACCTATATTCACATAATATAATTGTTAATGTATTCACACAATTATCATTTGAAGTTTACATTGTTATTTGCAAGTTGTAATAGTGATTCACGTACCAGAACGAATGAAGTTTTATCTTGGCTACACAACGTCTGCCACTATTATAAGGGCTTAAGTAACATTGTCATAATGTGGAGAAAATGGCAAAAGAAGAAAAAAATGCTTTAAAAATGTTTATACTTTTTTCTCCTAAAATTGTATATACAATGTTATACATTAATTATAACCAAATTAACTTGAGGTTTAATGCACATTTATGTTTATATTGCTCTGTCAACTGGAAATACGAGAAAATGCAGTAACGCCTTTGTAAAACTAAAAATATTTTTGATAATTTAATAAAAGAAAGGCGTATTTGCTTATACACCTTTATTGCTCTCAAGTTAACCTTGCATTTTAAGTAGAAAATACATATACGCTTAAATTATCAAAGTGAGCTAATCTGATTTATGAATGAATATGTTATAAAAACTATATATAATACATGCATGAGAAAAACAATCATGTAATGGTGTGATTATTCAAAAATGTTACAAAAATGAAGTGATTTAGGTATTTTAGTGTTATAATTTGTGACATTAGTCTGATTCAGAATCACTCTCTTCAGTGCTGCCATATTGGTCAACAATTTTAACAGGGAGGTTTTTATATGCATCATGGTAAAATGATGGTATTATGCCCTTGTTTACTAAGTCCATCAAGTCATTTTTGGTCTCCTTTTTCAAGCGCAGGCTTCCTTCATATAAAGGTTTCAAATCATATGTTTTTAGATTGGGTTTTCTCCTGTTTTTTCTTTGGAGGTCAAGTTGAGTTGTTACATCGGATGTGTGATCATACTTGAAGTCAACTATGTACGGCCGGTCTTTTGATATGGCGATTTCATTGACCTCGAGCCAATTCACCCTCTCCCCAGTCTCTGCAATGGTAAAGTTCTTCATCTTTCTGGCCAGATCTTTGAAGTCATAAATGTCTGCTTGCGACATTTCGACAACTTTATATGGTGTTGAAGTTTTCTTTACTGCTCGTACTATTGTATAGTACTGCTCTGGAGAGTAAATTTCAATATCCTTTTAATATTTCCGTAACCCCATCATTTTCATTTTGGGAGTGCCCAGATATTAGAAATCTATGCCTCAACTGCTTGATGTTTTCACAATTTTGGATTGCATAGGCATACATTGTGACCATAAACCTGTTCCTATTTTGACCACCACATTTGTCTGAATACAGGTGAAGATACTCTGACCTGGCTTGATCCTTAGTATTAATATACTTTAATACAGCAATGGATATTTCGCATGCCCCTCTTTTGCTATTGTTTGGGGCCACATGTAACAGAATGCATCCTTCATACCCAAGTCATCAACACTTAAATTGTACACATGCAAAACACTTATTGAACGCAGCCAGAGGTAGTTGTATAAATGACAAACTACACTTAAGCTCAACCCCACTGACGTTGTCTTTTAAGTAAATGACCTGGGACCTGTTCCTTATGACTGTTGGTGTCTTCACACAGCCGTCTGTAGCCACAACGTGGTCTTGATCACTATTAGTATAAAGCCAGGTGAGAAGAAAGTATGAGTCATAGCCTAGAATAACAAAATAAAGTGTATATTATTACACTACACGAAAAAGTTACTCATAGACCATATTCCCGGGGATGTTTCACACAAGTATGACATATACATTGTATGTTTAAAGAATAATATTTTCAGTATGGGGTCTAATAGGTCATATGCGTTTGTTAATGTTATTATGCATAAAAAGAGATAGAATGCAACTTTGCATACCTTTAAAATTGTGGGCTATGCCAAGGTAGGTGTGATTCTCAGGTGTGAATAACCAACTGCAAAATTCATCGATGCAATTATCCCCAAAGAAGACAATCTGTCTTTCGCCACACTTTTCACAAATTTCACCATCAATCCCATTGTCGTTGTTGTTGTGTTCAATATATATACAGCATTTTTGGGCCAAAATGATGTTAGGTATGTGTCTCTGGTTGTCAGTGTCGCAACGAGTCTCGATAAAGAAAATATAGCCGTCAACTGTCTTTGACTCCCTGGCTGCTTTAGCTGTACGCGCTTGATTCCTTCAGACTTGCCCTAGTTAGAAATAAAGTCAAATACAAAAACACCTACACCCTGTGCATAGGTATTAAATTATGGCAATTGTTGTTTTATTTCAACTTCTACACATCCTGATATACAACATAATACCATTATGGAAATATATACATACCATCTTGTGCTTCATTGTCAACAATGTCATTGGCACCTAAAGCCTGAAAATGGGTCTCACTTTTTGCCCTCAGAATAGGTAGCTGCTGAATAAAACACAGATGATCTTCTCTGACTGTCAACACTGCAAATACGGTCATAGCATTTGTGTTCACCCATCTGCCTCTTTCCTGTGACAGGGCTGACGGTCATGGGGTGTCTGTCCGAGACATGGTAACACTCAGTACAGTAGAATTTCCTCTCGCATTTTGGCACGTTTGACACTTCTGACGGTAGCTTTTGGTTCGCCCGACACTCAGCACTTTTAAATTACAAATGACAGTCTACGAATTGAAACTCCTTGGATATCGGTCTACCTTGACAACCTCTACTAACTCTTTCACAAGCCTGGTAGACGTTTAGACACTCATGATAAAGAATGTTATTGTAGCCTTCTTCACACTCGAAACAGTAGTGTTTACAATTCATGAACACTAAGAGGCTTTTCATTACGGCGATATGGTTGTCGTATTAGTACAGATAGATGTGCTTCTTGGGGTCATTAAGGACCATTGCTCCTTTAAACAGCTGAAAATACATGCATGATAGGTACACTTAAAGTATACTTAAGTCACTAAAGTTAAGTAATTGGCACCTAAGAATTATCAACAATATCATGGACAGAAAAGTGAAGAAATTCAACCCCGATTCAAAGATTAATTCAGTAGAACTGGACTTTATCTTGACACCACCGCCTCACATGAGACAATCGAAAAAAGCTACTCAGTCAATAACAGGTGTGCTGGAAGCAGACCTGCATGCCCAGCGCTATTATTATCAAGTAGAGGCTATGAACGTGGTGAACAGTCAAGACATTCACCTCGAACTCATGAGCAGCAATGAGAATGGCCTAGAGAAAAGTAATTTGTACGAAATTGTAGATGTGAAATTTGTCACCGCGTCGCAAATGTTCGCAAATGTACAGGAATGTTTGAGCTCTGAACTCTTTCAAGTTTATGACATATTTATGGGAAACATTCTCCAACCTTGGAGTTGTTTCGGGCATGTGCTGTATAAAGGCTTTGATAAACTTAGACTTTAAACAGATAACACCGTCTGTTGGTGACGATAAGGGCGTACTGCGTCTTGCCGAGGGAGGTGACGTTTCCCTCGCCGCCGTGTCGTCGCTTTTGGTAGTCGATTGTGCCGCTGTTGGTGGCGCTCAGGGTATGTTAGGCAGGGTGGCTGGTAGCTGCTCAATGCCGCTTATTTGGAAGTCCTAGAAGGAAAATTAAGAAATACCATTTTATAATACTATATGGATAGTTTATTGTTTATTTATTTTATTTTTTTTTGTGAACTTACGGGTAGAAACCCAAATCTTGCCAGCAGATTCACATTTTTCGTATTTCGTACGAAATACATGATATTGGTGGCAATCGTCCAAACAAATAACCGACAATGGCTTGGTCTGTAATGCCATGAAAAATTAGAAACATCTCTTTATATCCTTATCCTCTCAGACGCATTTTAGAGAGTGGCGCTATAAAACTCTATATATACATTCGGAAAACATTGTCTTGTGGCAAACTGATAATTTCAGAATATCAATATAAAGATTAAATAGGATTACTGACTGACTTTTTACAATTTAATATTCTTTTTATGGTATCAATATTCCCTTTGATATGTGATACATTATATTTATTTTATTTCGAATACTTTAACGTGTAAGAACAGAGTTCAATCTTGATTACCATTTAATATTAACCTTATTGTTTGAAAGTAAACCGTCAGAAAATATAGACAACTACTTACTTTTAATCCCTGATCTTTTATACATTTCGCCCTTTTCTTGTAAACCTGTGAACACACAGTTGTTCCGGCAGGATTGCAGGTAATCCTTCTACTTCTTTAGGCTTGCCTATACAATGAATGTAATTGTTATTGTGAGAACCTAACAAGCGATTCTGATGTAATTGTGTTTCCCATCTTTGTCTTATTTTCATTCCTATGTTGTCTTATACTACAGTATATCACTTCTTTCTGATTTTTTTCAACAAGCAATAGGCTTTGATTGATGTATTAATCTTATGTTCTACCCAGATTGGTTCCTGAAATTGAAATTTCGAATACTTTAACGTGTAAGAACAGAGTTCAATCTTGATTACCATTTAATATTAACCTTATTGTTTGAAAGTAAACCGTCAGAAAATATAGACAACTACTTACTTTTAATCCCTGATCTTTTATACATTTCGCCCTTTTCTTGTAAACCTGTGAACACACAGTTGTTCCGGCAGGATTGCAGGTAATCCTTCTACTTCTTTAGGCTTGCCTATACAATGAATGTAATTGTTATTGTGAGAACCTAACAAGCGATTCTGATGTAATTGTGTTTCCCATCTTTGTCTTATTTTCATTCCTATGTTGTCTTATACTACAGTATATCACTTCTTTCTGATTTTTTTCAACAAGCAATAGGCTTTGATTGATGTATTAATCTTATGTTCTACCCAGATTGGTTCCTGAAATTGATATTCAAATATTGGTTATTTGTAAATCAGATAAAAGTTGACAAGAATAGTCAATACTATTAAATTATGTTACCACAAGCAAGAACTTAACAAAACCAAAAGTCATTTATTTCTATTGTCATGGTTAATCTAGATCTATAAACATACTTCCATTATGTGTGACTATGAGTTCATTAGAACAACCTAGTATCTTACTTATAACACTGATTAAATATACTGATTGATCAAAGATCATATTCTTTTGACCATAGTCATAATATGTATTAATTACACCATATACTATAAAAGGTTACCTTTTTTTATTTATTATTTATCTTTGTTCTCAGCTTGTACTTTAACTGGAAATGATATAAACATTTCAAAACCTGTTCAACTTAACATGAAACAACCGGTGTGTATTCAGAAATGGCTCACTTAAAGGGTACTTTTTACAATGTGTAAGTAAAATAGTGTGTTTTGATCTTTAATTTCATAATAATAAAGGAATATGACAACATATTTAAACGGCAGCTATAGACAAGCCAAATTGAATATTAGTACATATTAAACTGTTTCAGAACACTTACTCATACATTACGTCTTCCTCTTCTTCTTCGTCACTGTCGATACTGTCTGAAATGGCCTGTCTTTGCGCAGGGGTCAGTGTGAATACAGTCTGATACAGTGGTTCTTCTACCCCCCCCTCCAAGTTGCATTTATGTGTTCCCTGCATACACATCCAATACGCATCCTTTTATTGTAGGCCACTGAACAAACGAAAATAAGAGAAAATGAGAGCTAATGTTCTGAGATGTCTGTGATTATAATCTTCCTAACTCCCTCTTTCCGAAAAGTCAAAGCAATGAGTCTCCATATTACATTTCGTTTGTTATATATTATAATTTCATTTATAATTAGTCGCAATTTAGCACATTATTCAATAATTACATAAAGATATAAACATAAAGATAAAAGATATAAACATGAAGATAGAAAACGTATATATTGTCAAGTCAGGGAGCGTTTTTGAAATTTTTAGACCATGGACTTTGAAATTTTCCAAAATTAGGTGTATTGGGATAGGGAGAGTTGCCTCCCAACGATAAAAACTGGTCGTGTAAAAATTGAGTCCGTTTATCAGAATAATGGTTACCTGTCATGTAATGGTTTTTAATAATGGTTTTGTTCTTTCTTCTTGAATTTAAAAAATGGTGTTTGAATTTCCGATAGCTTAATTTGTTTGCGGTTTCTAAGAAATAATGCGGCAGTCTGACTTCGTCCAAAATTGATTTTGCCATATTTGATCTTCGAAAGAGTATGCCTGAATTTTTTCAGTCAATAATTCTTGAGGGAGTTCTAAATATGACCAAAGAAAAGTAATTTGTACTAAATTGTAGATGTGAAATTTGTCACCGCGTCGCAAATGTTCGCAAATGTACAGGAATGTTTGAGCTCTGAACTCTTTAAGTTTATGACATATTTATGGGAAACATTCTCCAACCTTGGAGTTGTTTCGGGCATGTGCTGTATAAAGGCTTTGATAAACTTAGACTTTAAACAGATAACACCGTCTGTTGGTGACAATAAGGGCGTACCGCATGGTGTCGAGGGAGGTGACATTTCCCTAGCCGCCGTGTCGGCGCTTTTGGTAGTTGATTGTGCCGCTGTTGGTGGCGCTCAGGGTATGTTAGGCAGGGTGGCTGGTAGCTGCTCAATGCCGCTTATTTGGAAATCCTAGAAGGAAAATTAAGAAATACCATTTTATAATACTATATGGATAGTTTATTGTTACATAATCATAATGATGTGAAAAAGCTAAATCTATTTATATTTTATTTTTAAAGGAGTTCATTATTTCAAATGCATCGCTTTCCAATACTTATATGACTTATAAATTTTAATTATTCGTTCTTCTTGAATTTAAAAAATGATGTTTGAATTTCCGATAGCTTAATTTGGTTGTGGTTTCTAAGAAATAATGCGACAGTCTGACTTCGTCCAAAATTGATTTTGCCGTATTTGAAACACACTCTCTCACCAAATGATAGAATGTGCCTAAATTTTGAAAAAGATCTTCGAAAGAATATGCGTGAATTTTTTCAGTCAATAATTCTTGAGGCAGTTCCAAATATGACCAAAGAAAAGTAATTTGTACTAAATTGTAGATGTGAAATTTGTCACCGCGTCGCAAATGTTCGCAAATGTACAGGAATGTTTGAGCTCTGAACTCTTTAAGTTTATGACATATTTATGGGAAACATTCTCCAACCTTGGAGTTGTTTCGGGCATGTGCTGTATAAAGGCTTTGATAAACTTAGACTTTAAACAGATAACACCGTCTGTTGGTGACGATAAGGGCTGGTAGCTGCTCAATGCTGCTTATTTGGAAGTCCTAGAAGGAAAATTAAGAAATAACATTTTATAATACTATATGGATAGTTTATTGTTACATAATCATGATGTGAAAAAGCTAAATCTAATTATATTTTATTTTTTAAAGGAGTTCATTATTTCAAATGCATCGCTTTCCAATACAGTATTACTTATAAATTTAAATTATACGTTCTTTCTTCTTGAATTTGAAAAATGGTGTTTGAATTTCTGATAGCTTAATTTGTTTGTGGTTTCTAAGAACTAATACGACAGTCTGACTTCGTCCAAAATTGATTTTGCCGTATTTGTAACACCTTCTCTCACCAAATGATAGAGTGTGCCTAAATTTTGAAAAAAGATCTTCGAAAGAATATGGGTGAATTTTTTCAGTCAATAGTTCTTGAGGCAGTTCTAAATATGACCAAAGAAAAGTAATTTGTACTAAATTGTAGATGTGAAATTTGTCACCACGTCGCAAATGTACAGGAATGTTTGAGCTCTGAATTCTTTCAAGTTTATGACATATTTATGGGAAACATTCTCCAACCTTGGAGTTGTTTCAGGCATGTGCTGTATAAAGGCTTTGATAAACTTAGACTTTAAACAGATAACACCGTCTGTTGGTGACGATAAGGGCATACCGCATGGTGCCAAGGGAGGTGACGTTTCGGAAAAATATTCGCTATGTTTTCTCCAAAGTGAACATGGACAATTAAGGTGCATACATTTTTTATGATTGTATCAAAGGAAAATAGGTTTGTTTTTTAACATGTTCATTCGTCCCAGAGACGTCAAAAAAATGTAGAAAATACAATATTTTGTCATTTATGAAGCCAAGAGGCCCTTTAATACATGAATGGGCAAAGCCAAAGATAATTATATATTGGATTCATGTTTTGATTTTCTTGTTAAATGCTTCTCGGTCTTCCTGACATGTAAATCTACGGTTTTTGTCATTTGAACAATCTCTATAAAACAGCTCTCCAATCACCACTTTGCAATGTCTGTTCGCCCTACGAACTATGTTCACAAGATCGTGAAGTCCTTGATGTGTATATATCACATCATATTGGTTGTTGTGATGTGAAAGATCATTCTCCCCAATTTGTAAGACAACTAGTCATACGATTTCCAAACCTCTGAGCTTAGCACACTGAGATTCTTTGGGGATTTGTTGTCCAAATTGGCACCACCATGACCTCCGTCATAAACATAATCAGTGTCTTGCAAGTCCAGATCATAATGCTCAGATTCAGCCAATCTTGAGATAAAGCTGTGTAACCTGGCAACAGTACAGATGGTCTAGCCATGATGTCGGTACTCAAACCAACCTTTAAGAAAATGTAGGAAAAATAGGCTATCTACATGTCTAGCTAAAAAATTACTTACAAGTAAACTGCATGCACTGAATCAGGCCAAATCTAAGAATGTACTTGTTAGCTATCGTAAAATCATGCTGTTAGGCTAGAAATGAGCCTTTTAGATCTAAAATCATAACATAAGTATAAACTGGAGTGCCATGTTTAAATATATCAGTAGAGTTGAACCGACATTATCGACTTTAATAACAGTAGAATAGTTAAGTTTAGCCAAGTTTATTCAGTTCAGAGGATGTACAAAGAAATATTCATCAGATTATAACACAGTCATGGAATGTTCATAGGGATCTTCAAAATATACAGAGACACGAGTGTTGAATCAAGTGTAGTACGACAGATGGGGTGGTAAGTAGCTCAGATACCAGTCTCCTGCAGGGTCAATACAGCACTTGGCCCTGAAATTAGAATATCACACAATACTTAAGATAAAAGGATGCTTCTAAGTGATTATTACACTAATTGAATACTTGTGATGATATACCTTTACTACGAGTTCTTGTGGCAACGGCATCTGATACAATAAACAGCTCATCGTCGCTACTTGAGTTTGCAGCTGACATATCTATTTCTATGTCTTCTTCATCGGGCTGTTGATCATGTTGATAGTTAGGAAGCTGTATATTTGGGAGATTTTGTTGTCTCCTCACGGCACAGTATACTGTGATGGATACCACTAAAGATGGCGCATGAGTACAATGCCTTAATAAAACGATTCAAAGTCGATCATTGAAATATAGATTTACAAATATAATGCAACGTCAATTAATAGATGGCACACACAGTAAATTACACCATTAGTGCAAGCAAGTGTACTTTACATGTTGGGAAATTACATGTAATCTAAGGGTGTATTTAAAAACATTGTTTAGCAATTAAGTTAAATAATTTAAACAAAGCTATTTAAGAATATATCATACCTAACAGGGCTATGATGGCTATGACCGCCATTACAATTCCCGAAGAATTATCGCTCACAACCTCCTCCATTACAGTAACAGTACTAGTTGCTAATGTTGACGTCACATCGCCCCGGCAGTTGCCCTCCATGATTTATTGATCTGAGGGTGTCCAATATTACATTACATAAACTGGCAGGCGTACAATTAATATAAGAGAAATCACTATAACAATCACATATCTCGCAAAGAGACGTAATGGACTCCATTTTTTGCGCGCATGAAATAGTTGTGTAATATTAAAGTTTAACATGCGTCCTTAGAAAAAAGATGAGACACCCAAAAATTATATTTCATATGTCAGTAATTTATTTAAAAAAATTAATGGATTGAAATATTTATGGGAGGGGGTATGAGTATGAAGGGGGTCCACAAAAATCAATTTCAGTTCAGTTATTTTATCACTCGTAATTTGTAATGTTAATTACAGGAGGTTTGCAATTGTTTGCGAGGGCTAGAACGTTCTAATATGTACGACACCTATGATAGCTTCATGCCATAAGAATTGAACTACTATAACAGACACATTGCGTTCAATTTTTTATTGTACCTTCACAAAGCCAGTACATTATATAAACCTATATATACAGTACATATATATTTATATACATAATTTTATTACGGTAATTTTTAAACTAAGAATTAATACAATAGATACATAATGAAATCTAGATATATAATGAAGGTCTATCAAAACGCTGTAATTCTATATCTGGTCTCCTCCTGACGATCAGATTCCTCTTAGGTCTTCTAACTAAATATGAAGATCCTCGATAGTAACAAATCATTAGGGCAGTGAGAATTAATAGCAAAAAAATGTACCCAAAGTTATCAAAACAATAATAGTGGCAAGGTTCATACTTTCATTTAATTCAAATTCTATGGATGTGTTGTTACGCATAATAATATCCGTGGTAGAGTTTAAGAGAAGCGGTTGTGAGGTTGTATATTGCGATGGTGTGCTCATAGTTTCAATCTGAGTGGTGGCATTTGATGATTTCAATGTTGTAATTGTTGTTATAAATGGTAGGCCTATGGTTGATTTGGTTGGTTCTATTGGAATGTCGGACTTTGTGATGGAATGTTCTTTACTTGTCGAACTCTTAGCAGTTGTTGATGTCAACGGTTTTGATGTTGTGGTAGTGGTTGATGTGGTGGTTGTCGTCGGTGCATGAGTTGTTTGTGCACTAGTTGTGGTGATTGTAGTGGTTGTTCTTGTTGTGAAAGGCAAAGCCGTAATAATTGTGCTGGTCGGTTCTGCAAAACATCAATGATAAAAAGAATTTGTACTATATAGCTTACTTTTACTTTATGGTATAGTTTCTCTAAAGAAACATGATACTTTTATTAGTAGAAGGAATATAAATTTATTACAAGACATATTGGAACTATGTCATTTCAGCGTCAGGATTTATAATGTCGTATAATTGACTTTTCATTGATAATTTTCAAGAGCAATACATGTACTAAGAATTTTGCTCCATAAAATTAATTTTTATTATTTTTAATATTTTTATTCATTGATACATTATTGATAATAAAATTTGTACAAACCTGGTTTTATATCTAGACATTAACCAGGGCAAAGCTACCCGAAAAGTCACAGCTACAGGAAACAGGATCTTAAGAGGTTCTGGACAAATCATTTGATTCTGGACTTGACATATTTTTTTTCCAACGAAATCACATCCACGGGTTGAATTTTTATTGGATATTTAGAGAGCGAGTCCTGTATTGATTTCAATAAAAAGGTTAAAATAGAACGCTATTTGAGAGTTAATCTTATACTTTCATTACATTGATAAATTAAGGCAAATTCTGAAAAATTTTAAAGTGCATTTTTTATGAAATATTATCCAAGTATTTAGATGAAACGGTCTTATTTAAATACAAATCATAACATGATGATATTTTTTCATAAAATATTTCTTCAAGAAATTCAATTGAAGGCTCAAGATAAAACGAGCTAATTTAGGTGAAAACCCTTACATGATGATGTGTTTTCATGACTTCTTTCATAAAATTCCATC